TAAGAATTGCTTTAAAACCGTTTCTGGCTGATAAATGGCGCGATCTACGTAATTACTCAGAATACTCAGAAAAAATAACAGAACAGGATTTAGAACAGCTGTGGTAAACAATAGCGATGACTCTATGCTTCAACCTTTAATTGGCACATAAATCTTCAAATTGCGTACAAAAGGGTTCCATTTCCTATGTGCGCTGATCAAACACTCCAAGGCCTCAGCTGTGATAGATGCAACAGAGTGCATGCCGAATAACCGATGAAAGAGACCGCCAGACTCTGTGGACTGAGTGGCTGGCCTGTAGTAACCTGGTTAATTGAACAATTTATAAAATGTGTGAACAGTACCCCTCTGAAAAGCGAAATGATAGTATACATCGTACTTGTGTTGCACTGTCATAAAGCTCTAGAAAACTATAGAGAACGAATGCATGGACATGTCCAGAAAAGCTATTGTGTTGTGATTAGATCAGTGCTGGCTCTTAGCAACGCTATTGTCGAGCCTTATGGGCCGGCTTCGCGGAACTTCTTGCTCCAGAAGGCACCCATCGCGGTACGTACAGACGGGAAAATGGACATAAATAGTGCGATAGCCAAAACAAATAAGCATCTAGAGATTTCAAATAACCCGGTAGCAAGCAGGCTATCGTAAGTGTATGAAGTTCAAGAAGTACGAATTCATAATAGCATTTGAGTAATTTGCTACAGGAGTGAAAGGGCTACATCCAGAGTCCGAGCGTCATGTCCTATCTGTTTCCCTCCTCGAGTCAGATTGTAAGGTCATTATCAGGAAGGGTAGTCTAAAGCAGTGTACTATTTGCTGTTGCGCATCTCTTGATCACGCAGCGCTAGGTCTTTGATAGTTGCAAATACAGTTATAAGAGTGGTGTAGTTAAGAAGGCTCCATATAAAATCTTTTTTATGGGTGAGGATCAGGTATACTTAGAACACGGAAGAAAAGCACGCAGGCGGCCGCGGGAATACGTTTGCTACGCCAATCACAGCCGCGGCGAGATTCGACAGTACAGTCTGTCCGCCTAGGCGTACGCCCTATCTATGAATTCCGTAAGGATCGTAGCTGCTCCACACATTTGAAAAAGCCTCTGTTGTCCGTATTGATCCAACGAAGTGCCGGCGCTTATCACGGCGTTGCCGCAGTCAAAGATTTTTCAGAACAGACTCTGATCGCGCTGAAAACACAGACCATCCCCAAGAACAGTAGCTTCAAATCTCGCAGTCTGTCAGAAGCACGCTCTAAGAGCAGAAGCCGGGGGCCAGTCGTGAGAAACACTAAAAATATCCAGCGGAACGTACCTCAGCGCTACTCGCAAAAGAGGTTTGGAATACAGTCGATGTTCTTGTGCTCAAAAAGACCTGGAAAACCGGCCCATTCGACTTATGAGGATTTTACTCAGTTCACAACCGCCTAAGTGGCGGATTCTGTGTTTTGTAATCAGTGTTGGAAACCTCATCCCGTGCTATGCGGAAGACAACGTTATAGCTTTGTCTGGCCCTAGGTTAGGACTTGTAACAGTGCGTGTGTGTGTATGACCAGGTGATAAAGGGTGCATGCTAATTTCTAAAGACACATCATGGTTACACTTCTAGCGCTGCCATTATGGGTTCAGTAGTGCGCTTCCTTTCGAGATGCCGATGGAGCATCGTTGCCAGTTGGCCAACCGAAGCACCGTACTAACTTTTATCGATTCTGCAGTACACTCTACCATACGCATTTTACGCGAAGAACGTAAGTGTGGATAAAATGAAATGCGTCGGAGAGGGTCCCCGTCTCTGTGAACCGTGACAGCTCCGGCCATAAATTTCTGTAAGATTATACCAGGACGGTCATCCGATAGGATAAGTTTTACCGCGTAAATTGGGTGAAGAAGCTCCTGAAATAGGCTCTTAAAGTATTGCCAGTGCTGAATTTGATTGATGTTGAGGTTGATATCCCGCAATTTTTGGTAAACTTCTAGTGACACTCCGACCGGCAGCGAGGCTATTGGCCGCAGCGCTCACAATTATCTATCAAATAACATATCCCATTCAGCACAAGAAATACCATAAAAAAGGCCCTACATCAACCATGGCCTGGCCACCGCAAACCTATATCGTCTCTCGTCGCCTCATCAGTGCTCATCGACCACTTCGCCATATTCCCATCCAATTACGCCGTACCTCAGGGGTCTCGCTACCTAGCGTAGCATGGGATAAACTGACAACGGGCAAACGCGAAAGGCTAGATCAAGAGATCTCGGTCCTGGAAGTGATATCGGGGTTCGGAAGCTTACGCTCCGGAAAGGCGGCGGGACCCGAATTCCCCGAGGATTCGGAATGAACTCTCTAAGAATGCCGCACGCCTGGCGCTGTTCTGCTCTACTCTGTTCAGGGATTATTTTCGTTTCGAACTGCTTACTCCTCACTGGCGGGATGCAGCGCCTCTCATCATCCTAATAAACGAAGTCTATCCAAGCCAACTGAGGTTATATCGCAGAATCACAAAGAGGAAGCGCTAGCTGTTAACTTTTTTCGTAGCTGCTGGCAAGGAAGCTAAACGTATTCCTGAAGGACGTGGGTCAACAAGAATTCAGGAGGGAGTTTTCGATTGAAGCGACATGAAGCGAATTTTCGGTACCAGTCTACGATACACTTATGCGATAAATTTTATGTTACAAAATTATCTTCGACGTTGTCCTAAGGAATCCAGTCTTAAGCATCCTCGCCGATATTGGCGTTTCGGCGAACACGAACTTAATAGCAGTTATACTGACGAAGAACATGGTTACACTCGATAATGGGGTCTTTCTGTATTTTTAGTCCTACGTCCGGTATCGGCATTAGGTATTCTACTAGACAGACTGTTGACTGGCTCCTGCCAGCATGAAACGGCCTGTCTATGCCCTGATTCGAACCTAGATCACAACTCTTCCTTGCCATTAGCAGGCAAATACGTTACCTAGACGGTGATACAATCGATGGTGGGGTCTTAGAGCTGTTAGCGACTTCAGGTGTGGTCCAGGGTGACAACGTCAGCCAATTCCTTTTTCGGTCTAAGAATTTTTTAGAAGAGGGTTTTATTTAAGACAGGTGAGGAGAATTCGTTTCCATGTCCAGCGGGTCCTCGCGAGGTTACATTTCGCCGTCTTGTAATCAGGACTTACCACCAACCTAACCAAGGTGGTAAAATTCACGACAGGTGGCAGAGTTACGGCCACACTGCTCTATCACTTTGATCGACTGCTAATACGTGTTGAACTATTCACTCATTCAGGGTTGCTGATTTTGTATAATGGCTGAAGTCTATTCCAGCATACTACAGAAGAACACAGAAATGCGTGGATAGCTTCCACCAACCACCACCTTTCGTCGACCGCTTTGCGACATTTTGACCTGCGCCAATTGCCACATACGAGGTGGGTTTAATCTTATATGATCTCGCACTAGAAAATCTCGAGCATTTAACCGAACAATGGCCTCGTTCCTCATAAGAGCCTCGTAACTGCACCGGACAACCCGTAGCAGACTTGTCTACAGTGAGGCCGTTGTATGCTGAGGACCTCCGTCGTTTCAACCTGTTGGCTTATCCAATACTCCAAAAAAGCCTGGTAAAATGAAGTCGATCATATGAAATTCACGGAGGTCGATCCCGTATTCCGTTAAACGGAAGTCATGATGGACGGGATGTAAGACGGACTTGGCATGTCTAACAGACATTTAGTGACGCGCTATGCAGTGCATGGCTTTTATCATCGCCTACGCTGATTACGGCACTTTCATGAACCTGATGAATATTGTGTTTGCCCTATGCTTCTTGCCGCTTACAATTTCAATCGCTTGGCTAACTAAAAGAATTTCAGCAATCATTGGTATATCGTACATAACCTCGCAAAACTCAGGTCCACCATTCTGCGAAACGTCTTATATCGTTTGTTTTAGCCAGACCCGTGAAGCTGTCGTATGTATATTATAAGATAGTATGCCGATTTCTATAAATGTACGTGTTTTAAATGTGATGGATGCTACCTGAAAATAATAAATGAATGATTGGTAACTTAAGTCTTAATTTTTTTTTATTTCATAATTTATTATAATAAATAAACTTAAATTAATAATATGTCATTTAAATTGGTGCAATGAAGCTTACCAGAAGGGTTTGTTAAATTTCAACAAAGGGTGAAAATTTCCTTTGATGGTAATAATAGGTTTTCGGTGATAACTTCTAAAACCTTGTCGCAAGTTCTACCCAAAAATAATTTTGCAGTACACATAAATCGACATATTCGAAATTTTGCCAACTTTTCGTTATGATTTCCATTTTACAGATTTTGACTTCATCGAAATTAACTGCTCGCCGCTTTGCCGAATAGCAGGCGTTAATACCTACTTTCACATTTGGTAATCATTTAATATCTGACGACGTTTTCCAAGTAAATGACATAAAGAACTAGAAAACGTTGTTATTAGGTATGAGATTCAAAATGGTCTTGAGGCAGTTCAGCGAATTGGTAAACAGTGCTAGTGCGTGTTATACTGTACCTAATTAACGTGTCTCCATACCATAGTGGCAATGTCAATATGGCTCTGAAATAGCTTGAAATGTAGAAGCATTGTTCGATTGTTTCAAAGGATCTACTTCCGCAAATCGCCATTTTGCAATGTGCATTGATCGATTGTTTCTATATGTACAGCTGTGTCCATGTCATATGCTGTAATTTAAATCTATATCCAAGCCAAATTTATATCGACCGCTTCGACGTCCATAACTGGAGCAAAAGTTATCCACTCCTGAATGCTTATTATTATTATATCTTACCTATAATTTGTAAGGATTTAACGATGGGTCTATTATTTACAGATTTATAAGCAGGACTACGGAACCTAATTTAGTACTCATGCTGCTATCAACCAATCTAACTAGGAACAGAAACAGGAAATGGGTTTTGATCATTAACAACATATCTAATAGATTGTGATATGATATATGAAAATAATTTTTATCCGATTTATTTATTATTATTGAAGAATGAGCATTTTTTGCTTGCGTAAACTGCAGCGTTATCTATATCTAGTGTTTTTAACAAGTACGCCAATTTGTAGACTCATGGGTTTTTTGATTTCCAATAGAAGATCTAGTTGTGGATCAACAACAAGGGAGAGAGGCATAGAGCGAGACTAGTCAGACCCGTCGCTAGGTCGCTTGACCGCAATTTCCGAGCGATTCGGTCACGGCTTAACGCTGCCTGCCGCTCCTTTCAAAACGACTCTCGTAGACCAATCGACGGAGACGGCCCGACTCACATTGAGCTAAGCCTTCCTCTTTTGCGGTAATTCATATCGGTTTATCGTATATATATATATATATTCGATAAACCTCTGCTGGCTGATAATCCGGAAGGAACCTGCACGACCCCATGCGATTTTCGCACTCTCTTTTTTAATACCGTTTCGTAAATTTGCAGCATTAGAAGCACCTGTTGTTCTTCTTATGAATTTTAATGAGCTTGCTTTAAAGTACTTGGATTACGAAACGTCAGTCAAATGTTTGATGAGATCAGATGCGTAACCCTGAAAGTTGAAACATTTTCTCTTCCAAGCGTCACTAAATTGTGCTGATCTAGCAACGGACACAAACTTCTGTCAGTTCAATAATATAGATTAGCAATAATTTATAGCAATAATATAGATTGATGCAGAAACCAGGGTGGTCAAATCTACGAATGTGGCTGTTTACGTCAGTGCATTCCCCACACTCGGAACGCTTCGGCCTTTCGATAGCTATAGAAAATATCCTTACAGTTATAAAATCCGATTCATATATTTTAACATATGTTTCATCTATCACCTGTACACTCTAGGTGCATTGTAGCCCAAGGAGGCCATGGATAATAGAAACTGGTTTATACAAAAAGCAAGCTTCCCCTATCAGCCTAGCTAGCTAGCTAGCTAGCTAGCTGCCCATTGGCACTCTATAGGATGATAAGTTGTCTAGTGCAAGTGAGTTGGTGAGCATAGAGATGGCTTCTTGCGGTCATATGCTGTGATAGGATTTTTCCTAGGCCAATGTGTTCGAAATAAATGACTTTAAAGGGATTAGGGACGATTAGTTGATAGCTATCAATACCTGCGTTGCTGCATGTATACACATACTTAGTTCGGATGCTTCCTGGATGATTTCGCACTCTGCAGCGTCGACCAGTGTTGCCGTTTGCTTGAGTCAACGCCACTGGGAATGGTTACCGATAGTTCATATGAGCACCCAGCTTTCCCTGAAGTAGATTTGCTGGGTCTCCTATGCGATACGCAGTACATGCAAAACCGTTAAACCAGACTCCGAAACCGCGCGATGTGTTTCGTGTGCAGCTCGTATTAAGGCTACTGATCGTTTCCGACAGGTCCTTCGTCAGTTGAAGTCGGATCAGCACCTCTTTTATTGATTTTGATAGGCGACAAAGAAGAGTCTTGTTAGTCTACCGAGCAAGCCTCTGCTGCCTTCCCCTATGGTGTAACATTATATGGCCTAACGCGGTCGTGCGCCTCGATAACGAACCATCTAGAGGTAGCATCTAACGTCGAACTGTTTCCGAGTTTTCAAGACGAGGCGCTACCATTATCCCCTAAGCCGAGATACCAAACCAGGCATGGCTACTAAAGCATTGATATCATGGGCTTACTTTAAATATTTTGATAAAAATTGTCATGTTGTACCAGGTTGATGCATTCGCTGTACGCGGGGCCACATGTGTGAACATGGCCATACAAGCGGTGTTATTACCGCGCAGGCCGACGTAAACAGGTCGTTAACCACCGGGTAAGGCGTCACCCAATTGCACGCCTAATCAATTCAATGAACTATAGCGAGCAGTTCGATCGTGTAGCTTGATCTAAAACATTTAACAAACGACACATACAACAACAACAACGACTTAATTCACAAGAAAACAGATGTTAAGCAAATTTTTTTGTTGTCACGCTGCTAATATAGCATTGCAACCGCACTAGAAGACTACTCAGAGGAAATCGCGGAGCAAATGGGCATTGAATATAGATGATCACGAGAAGTATGTTTGACACGTTTTAAGGGCGATCATTTCGTCGTCACTTCAAAAAGACTAGCAATAAAATGGACAGAGTCTTTGCCATCACTTTTGCTACGGTTATGATTTTTTCACTATTCAGCCAAGTCGCTCTGTTTATGACAGACCACCTGCTTCGTTTGCGTATTTTTAATAAACGAAGGATCGAAAAGTGTGATGTAGGAAACGTAATCTTGACAGAGGTCATACTTAACCATGGTATAGAGCCTTACTGTTGTCATGGAGAAGTCTCTCTGGATGTTTTCTGTAAATCGGGGTGTTGTCATATCTGTTTTTCTGCGTGTCAACTGCATAAAAACTTTTCCTCGTACAACCTGCAAGGGAACAGGATGTAGGACGAAGGCCGTAGTAACCAAATACGGAGTACTAATGTCACACTCTGAAATATTTAGTGGACGTCTTTAGAAAGGTTTGCCGCAAGATATCCATCGGACACAGCCGCTACCAGACTGACGCTACCCGAGTCTTGAAAATGAATTAGTGGTTTTGCCTTAAAAAAAAAATGAAAACATCTTATATGGTATACGACTTGCTATCTCTAAGTTGTACAATAAATCCGAAGTAACACTAACGACAGCACGTGGAACATTTGTGTTACACAGTTTCCCTGATGTTTACAGCAATTGTTTGTTTACAAATACCCCTTGCAAAAACATTTTCGATTTCTACTTTGTTTGTTATTATTTATTAATTATAATAAATGTTAATATGTTATAATAGAAGGTTATTACAATTATAACTAGAAGGTTTGGTGTGGTGCATGATTTTGCCTCTCGATGAACAATCGGGTTAGCTTTGCCGTAGTGCAACCGAATGAACTTCACTAGTACTACTATTAAGAGCTATCGTAAAAGTTGCTCCAAGTTCTTGTCGGTGGTTCTTGTAGATGAGACGCAATACTCTTCACCGTACATGCCAAACCTAAAGCCTTTAAAAAATATCTACCTACAATCATTAACCAATCCTATAACCTATAATAACAACCAAAAAAAGTCGCTCACTGGATCTGGAAATTAATGACGGTTAAACAAAAGTTTGTTTTTGTAGATGTTAAATAAATAGGTGGATCGTACGACAATAGTTAATCTCTGAAACATACTCTGTGCAAAAAAGCCCGGGTCGCACTTTGAATCCAAGGGTTCTAGAGTGCTTTTCCAGACTAGTCAGCACGTTCATGTTTAACCAATACTTTCAGCTGCGTATGAAAAAGTGTTACAAGGGAATGTCTTTGCTAATTTATCCTTTCCATTCCATCATTACCTCAAAACACAAATCGGAGGAAAAAACGTAAAGGTGGTGTGTGATAAAATATTACAATTGAACATTCAATGTAATCTGTAAAAGTGGGGATATGTTCGATAATAGATGTTCTCTGGCTTCTGATTAAGCGCTTACGCGCATCGCAGATAAAGTTTTCTTTACCAAGTTCGTTTGTTGGCAGCTGCATGTTTTTCAAAATGGACTAAAGACCACACGAGTGGAAGTTTAATACAATGTAATGTAGATGCGTATTGTAGTTTTGTGCGACAGAAAATATTTCGGTTGCCCAAATAATCCTTCATTTTCTTATTATTATTATTAGTCTTATCGTTACTATTTTATGTCGTGTCGCTCTCGTCATAGTTCTGTGTCATTCCACACTGTAACTACGTGAATTAAAAACCTGAATGTACCTTTCATCATTGTTTTAGTTCTATCCTGTTAATGGTATTCATTGAGTAAGTAATTGCTGGTTAAGTTCTATCCTGCAATGAAAATCGCTCGTCATAATTAATTCAGTAGTTACTTACACGAGTCAATTAAAAGCATAAAATGAATACCGTTAGAACACTGACTAAACTCAATGTACGACTAAGTATCTTAGACACGGTTCAATTGAATTGCAATCTCTTCACCATATTCCATAACATTCATCAAATATGCGTATATACCTTAAGAGGACGACAATCATCTAAGTTTGTATTAATCACTGTTTGCCTTTGACTGCTCTAATTATAAATTAGTGATTCTCCGACTGTGAAATAAGCAGTCACACAACCGAGAGCACTCCGAATCTTAGTATTCTACGAACTACATATACATCTTCTGTACCCTTTTGCACGCCTCATGCTCAAAATACTATCTAATCTAATGCTACGGCCACTCCTTAGCAGCAGGCGTTCAACATCCATCTTCGTCGAGCCCCATTCCAAACGTTTCACTCAAAGACGAGGGACGCACGCTCTGTCGCCCTCTTAAGCGTTGTCGTGCTGTTGCTCTTGCCCGCGTTTAAATGTTTACACATTCGAACGAACGAACAAACGCCGATAGCGCCACCGACCGAGAGGCATGTTATGTCTGTCTGTCTGTCTGTATCGCGTGTGCGTGTGCTGTAGCTCGTGCGGAGTACTACAACAGTGTGCCAGGACCAGCCTCATCGTTTCAGCAACAGTGGCCAGACGTGCTAATTCTGGATACGGTAATGGTGATTGGCCGGCTCGATGTCTGTTGGAACGCGATGCCGCGGATACCGAAGCGGCATCAAGACAATTGGCTCTCTGCTACAGCTGCCACAATTTTAACTAAATATTGATATTTCATTGTCAGAAGAGGAGGAACGTGTTGCGAAACACGATAAGAGCCTGGAGCTGTCGAGAGCTGAACGTCAGAACCATTGATAATGATGATGATGATTCGACCGTCAGTCTCGGACGACTGTTACTGCTGCGGTGGCAATTCTTATTAATGATAAAGAGCAGTTGTTGATGTTGTTGTTAACGTTGCCGTTTAAGCATTCAAAACGGTCGTCTGCTAAAGCACTTGTCCATATGTCTATAGAGGTTTACATGGGGAAGAAGTTCTTAGTAGTTAGTCCATGGCTGTCCCTCCATTTGCTTCTCCTTTCAGTGGCAAATATCCTACACAATCTTAATTCAAACTAGTCGGACTGCCAATTGTTCATGACATTATCGTTATTTGAGTCACTGAAGCAAGATTTGCTTTTTCTTGTTTCTTTGATTTATATATGATAACTAATAGTATGAAGTTACCAAGTTTAACGTTAATCGTAAACTTTCAAACTGTTAAATAGCTCATTTCAATGACGTCTAGATACATCTATGTCGTAATAGCTGTTGACGCAAATGGAAGATGACATCATCTGTCAACTCTGCTGGACATCAACAATGACCTCAGGCACCTCTGTGTTCAAAAGGTATCGCAAGATATACCCCTCATTGTATCTAGGCCAAAAACATGGGCGAAGCAGGTTCGTCTAGATAATCGTGTTGTATACACACGATTACTGAACTACTTAACAAAGTATATAGTCTTCCATATCTCGATTTAGAGCTAGTGTAAGATGCAATCAATTAAATGTGAAGTCGATTGTTCTTCGAGCCTACATACAATATCCTTCGGACTTCTATCTATTTCAAGCGTGCATTCATACTCCATTTATTTGGCCTCAGCTCGAACGTTTTTCCTGTACTCAAAAAAAAAAACAAGAGGGATATGTCTTATGTGTTTATACGTTCTATTATTCAATTACGAATTATATTCCGTATACATTATATAATCGTCGCCTTTGGCAGGCTTAGTCAGCCTCGGATGAACGTCGAACGGCCTTTTTTCTTTCTCCGGGTTTCTTTCCTATTTATCTATCTATTCGCTCATCAGTGTACTTGTACAGCGTTATCTGGTTGATTTGCTCAACTGAGAGTCGGATCTTTTGTCGTTTTGTGCTGTTCCATCTTTCGTAGTTTTTTTTTAACTCTCTTCTGTCGGTACGGACATGCCGTTTGTGTTTGCCCGATCCGCTTCTTCCAAGCGAAACAATCCATCACCGCTCAGCAAAGCGGCGCGTGCCTCATGCTGCCACATCGAATTTTTCGTTCAGTTTACCTTCATTCTTCCTTCAACTTTTTCATCCGCCTTGCCTTTAGACAGTGCATGGTAAACACTTACTACTGTGACAGGAAGCTTGACATCACCTCTTGACCAAAGTAGCGGACGCTACCGCTGCCGCTATTGTTACTACTGCAGTTGACGCCATTAGCGCGACAGACGAGTACTGCAATATTTACGCTGAATTCTATAGAAAAGTCAGCCACGTATAGTAAAGAAGTAGCAGTGACCACACAAGGTAATAGTAATTGTCTAGCGAGGATGTTCCGCCTGGCTGTAGGTGCTCAACATATATACTTACAATATTGGGTACAGGTCATGATTCTGAGATTAAACTATCCTTTCACTCGAAATTGCTCGTTTCAGACAAATGAATAGCTTACTTTTCTGGTATGACTTAATCCACCGGGAGATGGAAAAGATGCTTTATCATACGATATTGTCACAGATATATTGAATAGAGTTTATCTTGTATTCTATTATTATAGTTGTTAATAATTGCCACAATCTTTATTTATTCATAGAAAGTTGCATCCGCTTTCAAAGTCTCTTTCTGCTCTTCTAATTGCTGGTTACCAATATAAAACCCCGAAAATGAGTTTACAAATGTAGCCAGACTAGATCTGAGGTACAACTTACCCAACGCCTTGCTGGCTACCCACGTTGGGTAAGCTGAACTTACATATAAGCACCTAAACTTAGTTGACATTGGCCTGCAGTATTTAGACAGCTTGTTAGCTTCTTCGTCCTGCAGGTTGTCTGAGGCTCTCGCCTTCCTTTAGATTTCCGTACTAATAGTTAAGCAAGTAATTATCAGCTACGAAGCTATTGTTGCAACATTGTTCTAACACGCTGCTAAGATGAACCGGGAACATCTGCGTCAAAACAATACACGAGATAAAAAGGTTGTTTGCTTGTTTCTGAATTCTTCCAATTAAATAATATCCTAATATATATTTCTGTTTGCTACTACTATTCTTGTAGGTGTAGATTGTAGAGAACGGAATCTCTCGTAACTGATGAGGTGGCCAGACTGCTTTGAAAGTGTTAATATACGAGGTATAACAAAGGCCTGAGGCGAACTAAAGAACATTATTAAGGAAATGCGAGTCTGGTGGCCTTTTT